TTTGCTAAGCTTGTTCTAAGTAGGTGCTTTAGACCACTGAGCCATCCCACCAGCCCCTGTTTTTTTTTTTTTTTAATATCAGTGATCAAACTTTGGACTTTATGCTTGCCAGACAGGTGCTTATGCCACTAAGTTATATCCCCAGCTCTAAAGTTGGTGTCTATTTCTTTATGTGTTCTGACTAATATCTTTGTTGATATATGTATTGAAAAAAAAATCTTAGTTTGTGGCTTGCCTTTCTCTTCTCTTAATCATGTATTTTCATACAGAAAAATTATTTTAAAATGGGTCTTACCATGTTCCTCAGGCTGAGTTTGAACTTATGGACTAAGATGATCTTCCGACCTCAGCCTCCAGCATAGCTAACAGCTACTTGCACTACCATGTATGGCTAGGAGACAATATTTTAATGAAATTCAAACTGGGCATGGTGACACACACCTGTAATCCCAGCATTTTGGAGGCTGAGGCAAGAGGATGGCTTTGAGTTTGAGGCTAGCCTGGGCTACAAACTAAGTTCAAGGCCAACTGGAACTGCATAGTGAAATCTTGTCTTTAAAAGATCAAAAAAGAAGAGAGAGAAAAAAAGAAAGAAAGAAAACTAAGAAAAAGAAATTCAATTTACTATTTTTTTCTTTTATAGTTAGTGTTTTGGATGCTCTGCTCACCATAATGCCTGGTCTCCATACTTTGTTCTAAGAGTTTTATTCTTTTTTACCTTTTCCATTTAAATTGTAATCCAGTTCGGTTCTGGGTTTGTGTGAGGATCAAGGTTCATTTCCCCCTAGTAGCCATCCAACTGTTCTAGCACCATCTGCTGAAAGCAGCCCTCCTTCTTAAATTTTACACTGAGTGCAAGCAAGCCTTCAGGAAACAGAGTGCCTCATACTCACCAGTCTCAATAGTCTGCTTTCCTCCCGAGAGGACGCCCAGAGGGAGTGTGCCTGTGGGGGTGAGGCCCTTGAGGGTCAGCACACTCTCACTCTCTTCCCTGCAAAGGAACACCAGAGCCCTGGTTAATGCCAGGGAGTTCCCACCTCGCCATTCTGCAACACACACAGGAAGGTTAAAATACAGAGGACGAGACAGCTCCTTCTACCTCCCACCAGCCCGACTCAAAGAGGTTTTCCACAACTATTCCAATTTTAAAGAATGAGATAGTTTGTTTCTCAACCAAAAGTTCTCTAACCAGGCATTTCCCATACATTATCTCATTTAATTGTGGTAATCACCTTGTGAGCTAGGTCCTTTTATCTCTCTTTTATAGATACAGAAATGCAGGCATAGATTAAACCCAAGAGGACATAGCTAAGAGGCAGAATCAGAGTTTCAACACAGGTAAATCTGGCTCTGAAATCTCCACTACACAACTACACTCAGTACATCAAAGTGAGCACCACACGCATACTTGCCCCAACATATTTAGTCACTTTAACAGACGTATCTATTCAGTGTACACTCAGGCTAAAAGCCTGGAGTTCCAATACCAAATTCCAATTCTAAAAAACTACCCTAAAATCAATTTCTAATGTGCTTTCAAAAGGCCTCTATTCCACACTGTTAATGACAGATTGATACTTACCGAAGAACTGAAAAGACTCGTGCCATTTTCCCAATGGCTCTGATTTTATTCTTAATGATCTCTTTTCGAACTGTAGTGCCTCCTCAGAGAACACAAAGAATATATAAGTTAAAAGGATATAGTAACACATTGGCTTTTTTAAAAATGCAGGATAAAGTGCCATTTTTTGTTTAAAGAAAAACTGTTAAATTTTTAAAAAGAAAAATAAAGGCCTAAGTTTGTTTAAACAAACAAAAATCCCAGGACACTGAAAAGCAAGAGGGGAAAAAAAAAATAGCTCAGAAGAGATAATGGTGAAGTAAAGAATTAAGGAGCCACAAAAAGACTATGAGTGGTAGGAATGTTTGTGGTTCTGAAATGCAACAAATAGTAAGGAAGAAAACACATACACATAAACCTCACAAAGACAGCTGCTACAGCAAAGACCTCTTTTGAGAATGCAGTAGGCCCCTGTAGGGTGCAGGGCTGGCCTGCCAAAGGACAGTGGTCATTTGAGCAGCTGCCTTCTGCAGTAAACACAAGACCCCGCTAGCTCTCTTGAACTTAGTGAGGGCTGCCTTCACACTACCGTTTTCACTTACTCATACCAGTGAGTTATTTCCTCAGCACACTATGGACATCTGTACAGTACAAGTACATGGATAGTTAAGGTATTTAAAAAAGCAGATAGAAAATATTAACATAACACTTCATGGTTTGTTCTAATCTAAGATCCAGGAAATAGCTCACACATGAGAAGCCAAGGTCCAGACATGCACCAGGTGGGACAACATTCATAAGTCAGAAAAGAAACATGGCTATCCCTTCCTTGACTCTAGCTCTCAATGATCTGCTGGAACAAGCAGAAGGGCCTGAGAAAACAGTCATTACCACTGAAAGAGAGGACAGAGGGCCATGCAAACTGGTCAACTACCAACTAAAAAGGTCTACCCAATAGACTGCAGTGAGACAGACAGCAAGTAGTAAGGCCTTAGCACACTTCAGTTGTATACCTTTCTGAAAGCTTGAAATGTAGAGATCTTCAGGGAGAAGACACACCAAGAAACAAGGAATGGAGATATAAATATGAAAAGAGAATGTAAGTGTGCATGGAAGAGAAAAAAATCAAAGTGAAATGCACCAAGAGCAGGCTAAATGGTAAATACAGATTCCTTCTCTCTGTTGTTTCTTCCATTTCTTAAGTGTCATGTTCCGCATGATTTCCCACCTATTATTATTTAACATTTTCTACTCCCCTCATCAAAAAATCACATTAGACAAATAAAAAGATATTTGTGGAACAAACAAGTAACAAAACGAGCAGAACTGTTCACAACTGTCTTACTAAGAACATTATTACTTTGTTTCATGAATTCACTATCTTCTAGTTTTCAGGGGATAGTTTCCTTCCAATAAAGTAAAAGCCTTCAAGCTCATTCAAGGTGCCTTCTGAATAGTTTTTGTTTGGTCTGAGAGGGACTGCGTGGGTGTCTGCTGATCCCGGACTCACTGGCTGTTGTGTGAGGGGCCTTCTGGCTGCTGTGGGGGCCTTGACCATGAGCTTAGTGCTGGGTGGTCGCAGCCTCAGTCAGGGAACTGAGGATGCACATGGGCCACTTCATCTTTTTAGGGTACTGATGTCCTCAATGTACTCCTAGCCCAGAAACTTTTTGGGTTATATATATATATTTTTTTAGAGATTAGACTTGGAGAAGAGGCAGTCAGCCTCTCAGGACAACTAGGACCTTATTTGCGTTGCAAACAGCTTTCGCCTTATCTACTTACATTCATTTCTTACCAACCCTAACCACCGGCCTCCAGTTCCCAAGTGGTGCTGAACTCAGCATTCCCTACTGCTAAAACGGGCTTCTGCCTTCTCCTGTCAGATAAATCCATAACACTAATGAAATTTGTTTTTCTGGTTTCTAAATATTTCTAAAAATATTTCTCCACATTCTTTTGTTTTTTTCCTTGTACTGGAAATCACACTCAGGGTCTTGTGCATGCCAGGCAGGCACTGTGCCCATGTTATATCCCTAGCCCTCTACTTTATAGTAATGCTTTTTTTTTTTTGTCTTTTTGAGACAGGGTTTCACCATGCAGTTCAGGCTGGCCTTGAACTCATTTTATAGCCCAGACTGGCCTCAAACTCAGAGTACTCCTCCTGCCTCAGCTTCCCAAGTACTGGCATTACAGGCATGTGTCACCTTGCTCAGCAACTATCATAGGTATACAACTTTTGTCTACCTTTTTTAATTGTGACATATAACAAAAATACATACAAGTACATAAATGTCTAACTCACTGATTTATTAAAAAGCAAATGCCTACAAAACCCCCACTCAAGTCAATAAACAGATCACCTGCTGTCTCTTCCACCCTCTTTAATTTCTCTCCTCTCCAAAGGAAATAATTCTCTTGAGTTTCAATAGAAGCATTGTTTGGCTGTTCTTTATAGTTTACCATGTAAGCATGCATCCATAAGTGCTAAGGCTTTAATTGCCTTAGGATTTTACATAACTGGAACAATTGAGTGCATTTTTTGGCCTTGCTTTGTTTGTTCAACACTAGGTTTGAAAGATTCATCCATGTTTTTCCACATTGCTGTAGTCTGCTTTCATCAGTGTGTGCTTATATGAATATGCCATATTAACCAATCATTTGGGCAGACTCCTAATTTTTGGCAGCTATGGATATATGGCTGCTGAGTATTTCTGTAGCATTTCTTTTCACTGCACGTATTTTTGTCAAGTAGATTCTCTGCTTAATAGGGATACTGAATAAAAACAAATTCGTGATTGATTGATTGACTGATTGATTGAGAGGTAGTATGGCCATGCAGTTCAGGCTGGCTTTAAAGAATGTAGCCCAGACTGGCCTCAAACTCATGGTAGTCCTCCTGTCTCAGCCTCCTGAGGGCAGAGATCACAGACATGAGCTACCACAGCTGGCTTGATTGTCCACTTCACAATAGTTTTCTGTATGGCAAGGGCTTTTCTGTGTCTCATTTAATAATAGTACTTCTACCCATTCTCCTTCTTTTCTCTGGGACTCCAGATACATCATGCTATGCTTACTCAGCATATTGCCTGTTTCATGCATTTTGTCTTCTGATCTATTTCCAGATCATTTCTAGCTTTATCAAATATGTGGTTAATTCACTTGTTGAGGTTTTTTTTTCAGTCCTAAAACTTTCTTTTGATGTTTTATCAAATCTGCTATGCCCATTTTCTAATTGGCAATCTAATCTTGTACACTCTTGAACACAGAAGCAAGTTTTTAATTTTTTCAATCTGATTTGTTTTTAATTATTATGGTTGCATACAAATTTGTGCTCATGTTGTACCTTCCTCACTTTAGTGCAAGTTTTGTTTTTAATTTAGCACAGGTATTTTAAACTTTAACCTAACAGTTAGGAGGGTCTGCTTTTGTTTGTTGTTGTTTTTGGGGTTCTCATTCATTTTGTAGCTCCTCATATACCAAGTTAACCATTTAAGGCCCTTCATGATATTACCTTAGTCTAGAGAGATGGTTTTTCAACAGATGCCTGGGCCCACCTTATTTAAGTTTCAGGCAATGAGATGATGGTGATGAAGGCTTCTATAAGGGAAACAATATCACACATAGGGACTCACATGATGTGGTATCATACTTGTCACTGGTAGACCCAGGTCTCTACTGAGGGACATTTAGGTTGTTTGGAACTTTTTGTCACTAAAAAAAATAAAACATCAAGGAGTATCCCACATGCAACTTTTGGCACCCTTTTGTGAGTACATCCTTCAGTAACTATGAATGTATTACAGCCAGGCCACTGGGGCTGAGGCCAGAGTGCTGGGATTACAGGTATGTGCCATCATGCCTGACTTAAATTCCCTTTTTTTGGTCTTTCCGAGACAGGGTCTCACTATACAGTTCAGGCTGGCCTTGAGCTCACTTTGTAGCCCCAGGTGGTGTCAAACACACCAATCCTCCTGCCTCAACCTCCCAAATGCTAGCACTGTAGGCGTGTACAACCACACCTAGCTTCGGCTTAAATTCTTAAATCATTTTTCCCCCCTTGGTTATATACCATTTCCTTGAGAACTGGCTTCTTGTAGTGACTTCCTAACCCATAGATAAAGGTACTCACAAGCTCTGTTCCCTTTGTTTGTGACTCCACGTGAAACCTGAAGCATAAATATGTATGGAAATCTCACCTATGCCCCAAGTGAGCTAGGTTTTCTCCACTGGGAGGGTGATTTATCCTAACATCTGACTAAATCACCTTAGCCACAGAGCCTGGAAAAGAGTCAGGCTGCTGCTTAGGTGACCACCACCTCTCCAGGCTCCTGCAGACAAGTTAGGACACATCTACTAAAGCAAACCCCTGAAAACACACAAGGAAAAAATACTTGTCTATATATATATGACAAGTGATATATATATCAAAATGTTATTATATAAGGATCCCTCACATACTGATAAGAGAAAAATATATACATAATTCAGAAGAAAGGTGGATAGAAGATTGAGTTAACATTCACAGAAGAGAAATAAGGCAAATAACCATAACAAAAGAATGTTAGCATGTCATCACTAAAGTACAAATCAAATTTTAAAACAGACAGTAACAGTGTAAGAGGCAACACTGAGGAAAACATTGTAATCACAACCACAAATGTAAAATGGCACAGCCTTCCCAGATGCCAACTGAACCAGATTTATATTCTTTTTTTTTTTTTTTGAGGGGTGCTGGATACTGAATCCATGGCTTTACATGTTTTTTCCAAGTGCTCTAACATTGAACTACATTTCCTGTCCTCAAATTTTAAGTACTAACTAATAAAGAATGCAATTTCTAGAAATTTATTCTATGGAAATAATCAAGGTAATGTTATTGGTTTTATAATACTGCTTTACTTCCTTTCATTTCATGTACCACCACCAGAAATACATTTGTTTGAGGTCAGCCTGGACAACTAAGCAAGACCCTGCCTCAAAATAAAAAGGGCTAGGGCTGGAGAGATAGCTCAGCAGACTAACCACCTACTTAGGCAAGCACAGGGGCCAGGGTTTGATCCCCTGCACCATATGTCCCCCTGCCAGCCATGCCCCGGGGCTCACTGAGCCAGCCTCTGAGATCGGGTGTGTGGTGCACACCTGTAATCCCAGCACTGGGGAAGCTGAAAACAGATGGATCACTACAAGTCTGAACTGCATAGTGAGACCCTGTACCAAATACAGGGCTGGGGACATGGCTTAGCACTCCCTGATTTCAATCTCCAGTGCCAGGGATGAGGAGTTGGGGAACCTGGGGGAGAACCATTATACAAACATCAAAACAGAAGAGGTTTTTAAAGCAAAATACTTAAAAGAAAATACAATATACAACAACATGGTATTGGTTAGTACAAAGACTGATCAATAAGGACAACTACATAATTACTAGAAGTTAGTAATTTTTTAAAAAGTAAATGTTTACAAGGCCTTTCTGTGACTTCATCATTTTGAATAAAAATGAGAGAAAGAAACATATGCAAAGACAACAGACAACTAATATCAAGATGTCAATGGTGAGCATTTATGAGATGGTGAAATTATGAGTGAATAATTTTTCCTATTTATGTTTCCTTTATTTTTCAGATTTTATTTTTCTACAGTGAACAGAGTTTTATTTTAATAACAGAAAGAAAGCAATTCAAGATAAACTAAACTCCAGCCCTAAACTTCCTAGTTCCTAATTTAAATGTAGGAAATTTACCTTCTGCTTCATCATCAGACATCAGTTCATCATCAGAGCATATGCTCAGAATGTTAACCAGCATCTCCGTGACTGCATGAGCAAAAAGCACCCAAAATATACACAATTAGTAAGGGACTTTCTCTCAAACAATATTTATAATATACACACATGCTAAATAAGTAGAAACAAATTATTTATCATTATATTGTTAAGAATAGCTATAGACAAGTATTGGGACAGAGGCCCATAAACTTAGCAAATCAGGAGATTCAGGAAGAATGCAAGTTCTAGGCCATCCAGGAAGACTGAAGAGAGATTCTAGCTCAAAATAAAAGAAACAAGTTACAAAGTAAGCTCAAGGCCAACCTGAACTGCACTGTGAAACCCTGTGTCAAAAAAAAAGAATAAACAAACAAATAAATAAAAATATATTTTAAAAAAACAAAAGAAAAAAATTAAAAAGGGCTGGCAATGTAGTTTAATTCTGCCTGTAAACCATCAGATTCAGAGAGAATTCTGATAGAAAATTTTTGCTCCATTAAGTCTTCAAAGATTCTTGAAGAATTTTTACTCCAGTAAGTCTTGCAAAACTACATGATTTTGGGGCTGGTGAGATGGCTCAGTGATCTAAAGCATCTACTTACAACAAGCTTAGCAAAGCACAGGGACCGCGGTTCAATCCCCCAGCACCACATGCCAGCCAGCCCCGCCCCCTGGTGGGTTGAGCTGGCCACACACACACACACACACACACAAATAAATAATTTTTTTTAAAGTTTATAAAAAAAAAAACTACGTGATTTCATCAGAATGTTGTCTATAGCCTTTCTTTGGATATATACATGAAAAAATCTCTTCCCACTTTTCAAAGAAATTACATCAACAGGCCTAGAGCCAATGTGCTTATTTTATATTTGTATAGCTTATTTGTGTAGCTCTACAAATAAAATTCTAGGGCCAGGGAGATAGCTCAGTAGAATAAGTGCTTGCCTGGCAAGCACAAGGACCTGAGTTCAATACTTGGTTCCACAAAAAACAAATACAAATAAAATTCTAGAGACAACACATCCTATTTAAATATTTTCACCACTAAAAGGATAGTACAAGACTTGATCATGGTAGCACAGCTACTTATTTAGAATAAGACATCTGTAATACATTAGCATTGGCATGAAAAAACAACTAAGCACCATTTAAAACTCCTCAGAGGAGCCCTGCTGGAGTCACATGCCTGAGATCTTAGCATTAAGAAGGTTGGGAGGGAAGGATTGCAGTAATTTCAAGGCCAAACTGGACTATAAAGTGAGCTGAAGAGCAGCCTAGATTATACAGTAAGACCCTGTCTTAAAAACTAAAAATAATAAAAAATAAAAACAAATTTTTGGAGGCCTGGACATGGTGACACACACCGATAATCCCAGTACTTCGGAGGCTGAGGTAGGAGGATCATAGAGAGTTCAAGGCCAACCTGAACTACTCAGTGAAACTGTGTCTTGAACAAAACAAAACAATTCTTTGAAGGGAACAAAATTAGCAAATATTTAGGTGCATGAAGGTTTCCCTTTTCTTACCTTTTTCCCCAACAAAAGGCAAAGACCATGTGAAAACATCCATAAAGTTTGGAAGCCAGTAGGGGTGTGGAGAACAGTTAAACTGCCTGATATTCATGACATTGTTTTCGTATTTCAGTACTGCAGCTAGAAAGGAAAAGCAAGACATTAGGTACAGAGGAGCACGGCATGGGAACTGATGTGCTTTCTACAGCTGCATTTCCTCTACGCAGAAGTCAGGGACTACCTTCCCACTTGTGATTCAGAGCAGATGAAAAGTTGCAAAGCATTTTATATATGGTAGTTTACCTGGAGAGCTCATGTAGTAAAATGCTTTCAAGGGTTAACTGCACAGTAACTACCTATAGAAGTCTCAGGTTCCACAAGAGAAAAGTTCTCCCATAGTTTCCTTTTATAGTCTAAATCACAACTACCCTTTAAGGGCAAATATCACTCATCAACTGTACACAAGTTGCTTTGCTAGTTATTAGCCACAGCCAAAGTTTTTTCAAAAATTCTTTTTTTTTCCAAAAATTCTTATAAGTTTAGAAATAGAAGTTATCAGTTCATAGTGGGAGGATACAGATGGTAAACTTGGAGTACTTTACAACTACTGTTCAAAATGGATTAAATCATTTCTGCATAGAACATAGTAGACTTTTAAAATGCCTGTTTCTCATATTCACAATATATTGCCAGCTTATCATAAATGTTTACTAATTTTTTGTTAATTGTATTGAGAAACAAATAGCAATGAAACAGTTTCAAAACAGGTTAGTTGGACAGTTACAATAATTAATAATAAATGTTTAAATTAACCAGTTCATATAGCTACCTGCACATTATGAGGCCTAAGTGATTTTCTTTATAGTTTTCTTTACATTTTGAAAGTTTCAAAATCTAATTCCCTAGTCTCCATCAACAGAATTGTTTGTACTATTTTCAATTACTCTGCTTATTCTATAAGTAGAATAGGTTACAGCAGTTCTCTCAAAATAACAAATGTAGTTCATCGCCTGGTTCCTATTTCTTTGTTATAAGATAGGCTAGTGTTCTCAAAATTTAGGTTATGCAGCACCTAAACGGTACACTATTGATTACAAAGAAAACACACAAAAATAGGATCTTGAGTTCTTAAAAACCAAAACCCTAGAGGGCCGGCCTGATAGCTCAGTGGACTAATGCACCTGCTTAGGCAGAGTGCAGTGGCAGGGGTTCGATCCTCACTGTGCTGTGCTGGCCCTGCCCCCAGTGCACACTGAGCTGGTGATTGAGACTGGGCATGGTGGTGTGCACCTATAATCCCAGCTTTTAGGAGGCCGAACACAGGAGGATCACTGCAAGTCCAGTCTACATAGTGATACCATGTAGACCCTGTACTAAATACATAAATTAACAAAAAAAAAAAAAAAAAACGTGGATACCAGGTACATGTCCCATTAATTTCATGGATATGTATTTTATTTTTTATTTTTATTTATTTTTTTGTATTTTATTTAGTTTTAAGTGAATATATCAGTATTCGATAACAATTTCAGGGCTGGGAATATAGCTCAGCAGCACAAGTGCCTGTCTGGCAAGCACAAGGTCCTGAGTTCAATTCCCAGTACCAAATCATCATCATCATCATCATCATCATCATCATCATCATCATCATCATCATCTCAATCGACACAGAAAAAAAAAGTGAGAGGTGAGTCTCAACCATGGATGACATGCAAATTGCTTTTCTGTCATCAGAAAATATCTCCACTAATAAAAATCTAAAAAACTCATAAATGAGCCAGGCATGGTGGTGCACACCTGTAATCCTAGCACTGAGGAGGCTGAGAAAGGAGCACTGTGAGTTTGAGACCAGCCTGGGCTACAAAGTGAGCTCAAGACCAGCCTGAACTGCACAGCAAGAACCTCTCTTGAAAAGACAAAACAAAACACCCTCAAAACTTAATCATCTGTCAGGTACCTAGTGGAACTGAGTAATACCTGAAGATGCCAATAAGCCTAAATAATATGCAAAAAAATGAGGGGGATGGGGATGCACACCAGTAGTAGAGCACTTACTTAGCTTGTGCAAGGCTGTGGGTTCAATTCCACTACAAAACAAAACAAAAAAAGTAAAAGAAAAACAAAGTGAAAAGAAAATGCAAAAACTAAAAGCAACAATGGAAGAAAAAGGAGGAGGAAAAGGGTGACAGTAACTCTTTAGAAAAGACAGCTATAGAGGGAGTAATTGGGTGTCAACAGGGATTGTGTCAGATGCTAGACGTTCCTTTTCCTTAAAAAAAAAAAAAAGCTTAGCAAACAACCATGAAAAATAAGATTATTTTGAGATAAAGTTATCAATTACATCAAAGCTGATTGAAAACCTAGGTAGAACGGACTATGGTTTAAAAAGTTTACTAAACAATAATCAAGAACAAAACCAGAATGGATGAAAAAGATGTGGTATTTTTATACAATGGAGTATTACTCAGCTATAAAGAAAGATGAACTCGAAGCCTTTATATTTAAGTGGATGCCACTTGAAGATACACTCATAAGTAAAATAAACGAGACACACATGGGTAAATGTCATATAGTTTCCCTAGTACAATAACTCAAAAGAAATATAAATAGAAAGGTAAAATGCAATTAAAAGGAAAGCAAGAACTTGAGCACTAGACAATGAAGAGAGAGCAAGAAGAGCTAGGAAACATGACAGAGGCAAGCCATACAGTTATATGTACACAATGGGTAAGGCAATGATCCTGAGAATCTTCAGAAGATTTTCAAATCTAGCAGTTAATTGGAAGATTCTCACCCTGACTAACTATATATACTGACACCTGTGAACTAAACAACTGCACTGAAGATGGAAATTTGTAATAGTAGGTTCATGCTTGTAGTGTCTGTTATTCTGGTCTTCTGAATATGTGCTGCTTGTCATGACATGCCAGTTGCTGCTGTGCTGTCTCTTGGGTAGATGACTGTTTAAAAAGGAAGGGGGTGGTGAATGAAGGCAGGAGATAGGAAAAGGAGTGTTGCGGGACTACCCTGCAACAATGTTGTATATGGTTAGATTTCTGGACGTATGTGTAAACATATATAATTCTTTATTTCTATTTTTAAAATATATTTTAATTTCTAAAACTTTTTTTGTCAAATTCTGTAGGGACTTAAAGTTTAACATATCAATACTTGATGAAAAATACCTGTTCCATGTTATGCCTAAGATGTTCGATATGCAGACAGATAATGAGGTTAAGCTCAACAGCCTAGGTTATATGGTAATAACAATAAGCTTCTCTTCTGGAGGGTTAACAACCTAAGTTTGCAGACCAAAAATTAGAGAAAAAGGAGGGCCGCAAGGAAAGCCAACATTTTGGCCCTAACCTTCCAAGGTCAATTAAGACTTAGGACATATGAGAACTTGTACTGTAACATCATGTAACTCGGTAGTGTCCCAAATTTTCTGATTAAGGAGATTATGGGGCCAAAGAAGAAAGTGATCGATGATGTACAGTGTGCCTAAGGAGAGTCACATGGAGAGAAAACATTCTCTCAGGATTTCACAGAGCAAATTGGCCAAGCAATGGCTGTGACTCATCCACATGGCTGACACTGACAAAGGATCTACAATCTGAGGTACAGGGTCTCAGGATACATCCTGAGGGGATTTGACTGACCTTATCAGATCCAAAAGCTACAATTCTTGTTACATAGGTTTTGCTTTATCTTGGTCTTAACCATCCAGCAGAAAAGTATAAAAACAAAGTACAAGAAATAAAGCAATGTTGTTATGTTGGGCTGTAGGAGACTCAGGTCAACAATTTCTGACATTGCCAGTCAAGTGGAAGACCCAATACTATTATGGACTACTGGACTATTTTGGAATATTTTGCTGAGTTCACACACCTATAATATTTAAATGATGGAACTAAACAAAAAAAGGAGATATAGGTGAATGACTATTTTGTATCTGTGTATTTAAAATGGTTAGGATAGATATATAGCTACATTCTCTTAATTCAAGGAATAGAGGGATTTGTTCTAATAGTGTTTGTAAATAGGATATCATGTCTGCATCTTGCACTACAAATAACCACTAGGAAGGCAGTATGCAATGTGTTAATTATTGGAACTGTCCTACCAATTTGATTTGAAACTGTCTCATTGCTATTTATTTCTCAATAAAATTATGGAAAAAATAAATAAACACCCTAAAAAATAAATATTAAAAATGAAAAAAAAGAACAAAACCAGATCAGAGTGGGGCAAAACATGAGCTAGCAGTTAGAAATTGTCTAGTTTTTTCTGACTTAGGTGGCATGTTTACTGATAAATCCACTGGACAATCAACAGATACACCTAAGAAGTTCAAAAGAGTGTGAGCAGAAGCCTTCACTACAAAATGAGGCAGAGGGCCATAACATTTTCTTGAAGATATTTAACAACACAAGCGCCCAGGACTCTGGCACACTGAGGAAGAAGGATCACCCTTGGGCAATTGAGCAAGACCCTGACTCAAAAAAAAAATGTGCTAGGGATGTAGCTACATACAAAGACCCTGTGTTTAATCCTCAGTACTGAGGAATACAAACATAAACACACACAGACACACACAGACACACACACACACAGTGCATACCACTAGATATGGGAACAAACCAGAATAAAACCATGTTGCTAATAAATTGGAAATGTTAGAAAAAAGGAAGAAAGAACTGAAAAATTAAGCAGCAAAACATTGTAGGACAGCTAGGGTTTGGGGAAGAATGATGAGAAGAACAAGAAAACTTAAGGCTAGGAGAAAACTGAAAAGAAATGCTTTCTAGAAATGCGTTACAAGGGCTGAGACTTTTGTTTAGTGGGAGAAAGCTTGCCTAGCATGTGTGAAGTTCTGGATTCCATAGGGATGGGGTTGGTGGTAATAAATTACTGAAAAACAAAGAAGTGCTCTACCACTGAACCACATCTCAGCTCCCACAGTTTACATATAAACAGAGAAATAGTAAGTATATGATTTACCTCTTTGAAAATTGTCTCCCCAGCTGCATAGACAAGGTATGACTATAAAGTAATGAGACTTAAGAAACCACCAACTACAAACACACAACACCTCATATATCAGATGAGTGAGGCCCTTTGTGTCATCACATCAGGCACAACAGCAATAAAATGTTGCAGTGTCATAGCAGTTTATCTTCCAAACAATTAGTATTTATTTTCATTATTCCAACTTATCTTCACCAACTCTACATGCCACATATTTTAAAGATAAACTGAGGCACAGAGAAGTTAAGTATCTTGTTAAATGTGACACACTTAAAGTGAAGCAGGAATTCAGGCACCTAGCTTAGGGCTCTTTCAACAAAACTTGCTCCCTGCTGTACAATTAATCTGAAGATGCTGCCACTATTCAGAACGCTTTTGGAACTCTCCTTCTGGAATTGCCTCCAGAGCTAGTATAAAAGCAACACAAGAAGGAACAGTCTCATTACCGCTTAATCATACCTTGTTCTGACCCCAAATGGTGTCATTGAGCTCAACCACTCACCTTTATTTATCAGTCTTCACTCCGAATGACTTTTGGATGTCCAAAAATCAAATCCACCCTCAAAGGACGAAGATTTCCCATCATTGAGGATAATCAAAAGAATGTGTCGCAGACTCTGAAGGCAATGCCAAAAGAGGAGTTCCAAAAATGTTTTTGAACAATGACTGCATTGTTGGAATATGCATCTAACCTCCCAAGATAACTGCTTTGAAGGGACAATACTCATCTGGATATATTTGTTTTAGCATGTTTGTTTGAAAGTCCTATTATTTTATAGTCACACTTAATAAACAAGGAAATGCAGACAAGTGTTTGTAGGACCACTGCCCTGAAAGAAAATCTATGAGCTACAAATTGTAAAAGTTTTAAATTGGAAAAAAAGAAAACTTTAGCAAGATAAAGTCTTTGATGCAGAATTTCTGAAACAAAAGGTATGTACATATCCACTCTTTTTAAAATATCTACATATAGAAAACAAGCTGAGAAAAATTAAGTGACTTCCCCAAAGTCACAGTTTCTAACAGGGTTTAGACAAAAACGAAGATTTTTTTTCCCTGACTACACACTATTCATTCACTCTACCATACTGTATATCAGGAAGAAAAAAAAAAAAAACCAAACAGCTTAATAACTTACAAACACAAAAACACCAAATGACAAACTTTTAAGGTATAATTATGAACAAATTTCCCAAAACTAGTAATTTATGCTAAACACTGTAGCATGACCTTGAAGTATTGTAATCTTCTTAAACTTTTGACTCAGTAGTAAGAATCTGTAGTATCATTACATACATTCACAAAGAGCCCAAATCATTCAAGACCCAGCAGCAGCATAAACTTTGGACTTCTTGGCCTATATTTCAATTAAAATCTCTGTTTGTCTTTTGTCTCTTTTTTCTGGGGTGAAGCACTGGTGCTACAGATTGAACCCAGGGCCTTGCATATGCTAACCACATGATTTATCGGGAAGCTACACCTACTACTCAACTTGTAGTTAAAATTTATATATAAAAATAGGCACTGGGGGCTAGGGAGATAGCTCAGTGGAATAAGTGCTTGCCTGGCAAGCACGAGGTCCTGAGTTCGATCCCTGGTACCACAAAAAAAAAAAAGGAACTGGAGGGTGTAAATCTATGGCAGAGTGTATACTTAACATGTGCAAGGCCTTGAGTTCAATCTCCAGCACCAAAAAAAAAAAAAAAAAAAAAAAAAAGAAAAAGAAACAAACACACATAATTAAACTAAAACTGCCATTTATTCACAAATTCAAACTAAAATAGTGTTGGGTTCCTTTACCTTTATTGTTATAGACATCCAGATAATTGGGGGCAGAGAAAATCGTGATAAGTGATGGAAAGCCAGTGGTCTGACTCTTCCTGTACATTCGATACCTGGAAGACAGATGAAAGCCTGTCTGTCTTGATATTAAAGGTTAAAAAAATCTGCTATGATATTTGGTTTTATTAGTTTTAATGTAACTTACCCAGCATCTTGGGCTTCATGGGCTCTGATTATTGATAATAAATTATTGTTCTGCAAAAATTCACAAACTGCAGGGTAACTGAAAATTAGAAGATATAAAGTTCAGAATTAAACACTTACTTTTTAATAGGAGGAGGGGAAAAGCCAAGATGATATGGTTTGTTCTAACTACAGGTACACATTGCTGAAATTAGACAAGATCAGATACGTTCAGGTTGGCATGGCCATAGACTCACCACTGAAATTAGTAACATGACTCTCTTTTTGTCTTTTTGAGACTGGACTGTACTATGAAGTTCAGGCTGGCCTTGAACTCACTTTGTAGCTCAGGGTGGCCTTGAACTCACAGAGATCCTCCTGCCTCAGCCTCCTGAGTGCTTGGATTGCAGGTGTGCACCAACATGCCTCGCTATAATCATGACTATTTTTCATTTCACTAACATAAGATATAGGTCATATTTAAAGGTAATACACAATCCTAGAATTGAAAGAGCTCCCCTTCTTTAATTTTTTTTCTTAACCCACAGCAATAATAATACAACACCTGAACTTTTCCTGGCATCTTAATATAAAAAGGTACCACAACAGCATGTATGTACTGCATATGTACATGTGTGCATGCAAGTAGGATTATAAAATTTTCTTCAACTATCAAATTATCAAGCTGCTAGAAAAGTAAAATAATCCACTCATAGACTTTCATGTAATATCAACATCAAGATGGTCTTATGCAGGATAATTGCAAGAGTAACAATATCCTAATGAAAGGTGTAATATCTACACATACAATTAAAATATTCTTAGTACTACTACCTTTCTGAATGACAAATATCTGGTTTGAAGACATGGATAATATAAAATTAATCTGGAGCCAGTGAGATAGCTCATCAGACTAAGCACTTGCTTAGATAAGCACAGGGACCAAGGTTCGATCTCCGGCAACACATCCCTCACTGGCCAGCCCCCAGGTGCACTGAGTCAGCCACTGAGACTGGGTGTGGTGGCTCATGCCTATAATTCCAGCATTGGTGAGGCTAAAAACAAGAGGATCACTATGAGTTCAAACTGCATAGTGAGACCCTGTACCAAATACATAAAATAATAATAATTTGGAATTATCTACATATTATTTATTTTTAAAAAATCTTGGGGGCTGGGGAGCCAGGGATATAGCTCAGCAGCATAAGCATCTGCCTGGCAAGTGCAAGATCCTGAGTTCAATTTCCCATACCATAAAAAAAGACCAAAAAAAAACTTTCTCATTATACTTACTAGAAAAAATTTACTTCTGAAATAAATTGTGGGTGACATCATCAAAATAGCAGAACAGAAAGTCCTCAGCCCCAACACAAAGACAACAAACTGGCAGCCACCCACAGATTGAGCACTGTTATAGAGCCCTTAGGATTGAGTTAGGAGGTTGTGAAGTCTTAGTGGAACCCAAGCCTCAGGATGGTCACAGTGAAAAGGCAGCCCCCAGCCTTAACCCCATGCCCACCGTAGAAGCAGCCTGGTCCTGAGGACTTGTTCTAGTGCCACTTGTTTGCAGTCCTAGCAGCAGCTCTATCTGCTCACTAGTGATACTATAGGTAGCCTGGCCAGCCAGACCCAATGGTACTATCAGAGCAAGCCTATAGCCAAGCACCAGCCTCACTCTACCCTGGCTGAGAGGTAGTCTCAGCCCTGCCTTTTCCTTCTATCCATGCTCCAGGGCTGCTGACAGGACCTCAAGACAGACCTAAACAAGCCTTGTGACCTTGTTCAGGATGAAGTCCATTGAGTTCCAGAGGCATTTGTTTCTAGTCAGGCATAGGAGAGGTGACATGCAACACCCCTGTCCACGCTATAAAGTGAATTCAGGCCACCAACTTTGGACCCTGTGGTAGCCCTGTGACCGACCTCCAGTCCTGCTCAGCTATGATCCCAGAAGCCTCATATGTCAATCCATTTTGTTTGCTTCTAGCAGTCCACAGACACCAGTGCCCATCGACTAGATCATGCAGTATCAGGAAAGTAAGATACCACCCAGGAAAGCTAATAAAGCTCCAGTAACTGATCCTAAGGAAACAGAGATCCACAAAATGCATGGCAAAGAATGCAAATCCACCATCTCAGAGGCTCTAAGAGTTACATGAGAGTACAGACGGACAACTAAATGAAATAAAAGAAAAAAACACTGGAATGAGCTAAGATGTTTAGTGAAGAAACAGCAACAGTGCTAGGGGTTCAGCTCAACCATAGAGCCTGTGCTTAACATGTGCAAGACCTTGGATCAATCACCAGTCCCAAGAAGGAAGAAATGCAAAGGAAAGAAGAGAAACCCTAAAAAAGAACCAAACAGAAATCTTGGAGATGAAGAATACAACTATCAAACTAAAATAAATAAAAATAAAAAGCTCCAGCAGCAGACTGAGTTGTGTTTAAGAAAAGAGTTATTATATTCAAAGACAACTCATTTGAAATTACTCAGACACAACAACGAAAAAGGATGAATAAGGATATTAAAAGTATGTGGGATTTACGGGACAGCATTAGACAAAATATCATACGCACAGGAGTTCAAGAAGGATGAGAAGGGACAGAAATCTCATTTACAGAAATAATAGCTGAGAATTTCCCAACTCTAGGGAGGGAAATGGACATCTCAAATCATAAAGCACACAAAGCTCAAATAAATTCAACCAAAGAGTTCTAAACTAAGACATATTATAAGCTGTTAGAAGTTAAAACCAGAGAGTTTTGAAAGCAGAAAAAGAAATATAGCCATCCATGTAGGAACTTTATGAAAAAGAGTTTTCATAAGATTACCAGTGGATCTCTAAGCCAAAATTTTGCAGGCCAAGAGAGAAGGGGAAAATATATTCAAATAAAAAAAGAGACAGAGACAGAGACAGGGGAGGGGGAGAGGGAAAGAGAGAAGGAGAGGGAGAGGGAGGGGAAAAGAAAGAGTGGGAAGAAGAGAAGCAGGAAGAGGAGGAGGAGGAAGAGGAGGAGGAAGAGGAGGAGGAGGAGGAGGAGGAAGAGGAGGAGGAGGAGGAAAAGAGAAGAAAAAAGAAAACTCCCCTGCCAATCAAAATCTGAAAGGATTTTACCCAGCAAAATGTAATTTGAGGTGTGGGGAAGATAGCTTGGCAGTCTAAGTGCCTGCCTGGTACCACATACCATGTTGGTCCCGGAACCTGCCACTGAAATTGGGCATGGTGGCACACACCTATAATCCCAGCACTGGGGAGGTTGAGACAGGAGGATTATTATGAGTCCAAGCTGTGTAGCAAGAGCCTTTACCAAATACATACATACATACATACATACATACATACATACATACATAAGATTTTTTTCTTAAATGTCATTTGACAATGGAGTAAAATTTGGGTGTAGTGGTCCATGTCTGTAATGCCAGTACTCTGGAAGGCTGACGTAGGAGGACTACAAATTTGAGCCCAGCCTGCATGGCTTAGCAATTTAGTGAGATCCTATTTCAAAAATTAAAAGAGAGAGAAAGAGGGAAGGAGGGAGGGAAGGAGAGATAGAGAGAAAAGAGTGAGTTGCAAATGTAGCTCACTGCAAAGGTTCTGAGGTTTAATCCTTGGTACCACAAATCTGAGTTTATTAGCCTAAGATCTTCCTTATTATAAGAACTGCTAAAGAAAGTTCAAGTCAAAATGAAAGGAGGGAGTTGGCAAGATGGCTCACTAGACTAAGCGCCTGCTTAGGCAAGCACAGGGACTGGAGTTCAATTCATGGCACCACATGCCATGCTGGCCCCGCCCCCATGCACGCTGAGCTGGCCACCAAGACCAGGAGTGGTGGCGCATGCCTGTAATCCCAGTGCTGTGGAGGATGAGACAGGAGGATCACTATGAGTCTGGGCTGCATAGTGAGATGTTGTATCAAATACATAAAAGAAAAAAAGAAAGGAGGATAAACAGCATGAAAACATGAAGGCATTAGTGTTTCTGTATGTGACTGAAATTAAATTTTCAGCTGAATATAAATATATATATATATATATATATATATATATATATATATATATATATATTTTTTTTTTTTTTTTCCCCAGAACGAAGGATTGAACTCAGGCCCTTGCACTTGCCAGGCAAGCACTTATTCTACTGAGCTATCACCCTGGCCCTGCTACATAATGTTTTATGCAAATCCTATGGTTTAAAAAAAGTTCAGCATAGCTACACAAAGCTAAAGAACCAAAACACATTAGTACAAAAGAATTCATTAGAGACATGAACATAAGGAACAGAAGAACAGTAAAGAAGACAGAAAACAATAACAAAATGACAACTTTCCCTGTCCCTAATAATTTCCTCAATAGACACACAGAGTGACTGGATAAAATAGCCAAGACCCAACTATGCCATCTATAAGGCAATCATTTTACATCTAAGGATATACATAAGCAAAAAGGAAAGGGATGGAAAAAGGCATTTCATGGCTATGGCAATCAAAATAAAACAGGAGTGGGTATACTTACAGTAGACAAAATGAAATTTAAGTCAGAGAAAACCCCACAAATAACTTGATGAGAAAAAATGAACTAAGGACCTGAATAGACATTTGAACAAAAATATACAAATGCCTAACAGGTATATGAAAAACTTCCCAATATCACTAATCACCAGGGAAATACAAATCAAAACTACAATGACAAATTTCCACATACCTGCCAGAATGGCTATTATCCAAAAGACAAAACCTATTGGCAAGGATATTTTAGAAAATGAAACCTCTGGTACAATGTTGATGGGGATATAAGTTGCTACAGTCATTAGAGAAAACCTTGGAAACTGCTTAAAAAATTAAAAACAGAACTATCACATGATCCAACTGTTACAGTTTGTGTCTGGTTGTACCCCTAAAGCCTCAGGCAGTTATTGAGGCAAGTTTCTAGAGTTTGTGATTAATTCATAATTCAATGCTGGGATTATGAGTGTGAGTGCTTACACTCACCTTGGGGCAGATAGCCTGAATACAATAAGGGGAAGGGAGAGACACCTGCTGGGTGCCCCAGCGCTACTCCTCCCTTTTGCTCTTTGCTGTTTTCCGCCACCATGAACTACTGCCCTCTGCCATGTGCCACTGTGTGTTGGAGCCAGCTGAGTATGGACTGAAACTTCCACTAACTGTGAGCTAAATAAACCTTTCTTTCCTTAATTTTGAGTGCTGAGTATTTTGTCTCAGCAATGAGAGAAAAGTAACTTAGGCACCAACAATCCTACTTCTAAGGATACTTCCAAAGGAAATAAAATCAGCATCTGAATAAGTATCTGCACTCACATGTTCGTCAAAACATCACTCACAATGGCCAGAATATGGAAACAACCTAAATATGTGGGGTGTGTGTGTGTGTGTATGAGATTCAAACTCAGAAGAAGGAAATACCTCCTAAGAATAACATGGATGAATCTGGAAGATATTGATAATAAAGTAAGCCAGACACAAAAACAAATACTGCATAGATCTTACTTGTAGAATCTAAATTCATTGAAAGAGTACAACGATAGACAAGGGGGCTAGGAGCTGGAAAAATGAAGAGATGTTAGTCAAAGAGTACAATATAGGGTGGAGGGTATAGTTCAGTGGTAGAGTACATACTTAGCATGGTGACTGACATTAAAGACACTGTCTAGACACCTGAACTTTGTAAAGGGGGTGAGTTCTAAGTGCTCTCACCACATGCACACAAAAAGGGCAACTATATGAGGTTTGGGTACATGACTGACTGTGGTGGTCATTTCACAATGTAATCAAAACAGTTGTCTACCTTAAATACATACTTTTTATTGGCCAGTGACGCCTCAGTAAAGCTAAATATAAGTAAATGACGGGATACTCCCAAGAAATGAAATTTTAAAATACAAAGAGTAAATAGTGAAATACTTCCCTTCTACTTCAATCTTCCAGCTACTGTGAAAGCGATCAGTATTCCTGATTTCTTGAACATTCATTCTTTCAAGATAATCTGTTAAATTCCAAACAAATACATATGTATATCCCCTTCTCTCTCTTTTTTTTTTTTTTTAGGGGGATACTGGCAATTGAACTCAGGACCTCACACTTGCCAGGCAGGCATTGTGCCACTGAGCTAAATTCCTGGCCCTCTTTTTTTTTAGTATTAGCAGATGGTACACATAATTCTGTACTATGTATTTTTTCACTTTTATTAGTGATTATTTCATATCGGTATATAAGCAGCTTTTCTTTTTCATTTTGCAAAAACAGTCTTATTAATAGATCAATTTCTGAATCATAAATTACTTGTCTTCTACTAAACACTGTGGTTACTATCAATCTTTTATCATAAATAATGCAATAGGAATAAACATTTCACACACTTGCAGGTAAAATACATCCTTATTTGGAGTAATAAATGTTCCATCATGTTGCTTCAAGAGTGAATTAATGGGGCTGGTGAGATAGCTCAGTGGATGAAAGTGTCTGCTTAGGCAAGCTTAGGCAAACAAGGGACCCAGTTCGATCCTCGGCACCACATACCACGCCAGCGCTGCCCACAGGGTGGGCTGAGCCAGCCAGAGTCCAGGTGTGGTGGCGCACACCTGTAATCCTAGCGCTGGGGAGGGTAAAAGCAGGAGGATCACCACGAGTCCGAGCTGCGTAGTGAGACCCTGCAACAACCAAATACATTTTTTTAAAAAGTGAATTAGTGAAGAATAAAATATTATACCTTGGAGAAATATACTGTTAATATCCTGTAAGTTTTGGTCACAATATTTACACTGACTAATAGGTAACCTGTTTTAAGTCTGGGGGTCCCTCTCCAAATGGAATTGAACTCATGCCCTTCACACTGAGCTGCAGCCCCAGCCCTTTCTTACTTTCTGTGATAGCAGTCTTCCTATACTATAAGTTGCCCAGTTTGGTGAGCTCAAACTTGCAATCCTCCTCCCTCAGCCTCTCAGGAAGCTGAGGTTACAGGTATTTGCCGCCATGTGTGTTCTACAGATGCTTTACTTCAATATATCGCTGATTCATGGGCACTGAGTGCATAACCAACATCAGAGTTCAAGACTGAACTAATTTAGCTAACATAAATTTTCTGTGCAAGGCACACTGCAGTCTTCTTGTGCCTAGAAATGGGAGGCAGCACTCTAGTACTATGCCTGAGTACAAGTTAGCGGCAAAATCACTAACAAAACCACAGAAAGTGTATTAAATAGGTAGCAAAAAGAATACAGGTACTTATTTATTGTATGATGGCAGAAACAAGATGACAGTATTTATTTATTCGCTATGCAGCTCTGACTCATAGTAATCCTCCTGTTTTTAGCCTCCCCAGCGCTGGGATTACAGGTGTGCGCCACCATGCCCAGACTCAATCTCGGTTCAGGGCACCCAGGGGGTGGGGCCGGTGCAACATGTGGTACTGGGGATCAAACCCCAGTCCTTGCACTTGTCTAAGCAGGCACTTAGTCTGCTGAGCTATCTCACTGGCCCTGATAGTATTTTTAAAAATGACAGCATTACTAATTAACCTGGCAAGAACACACACCTGGAGTAAACCAGTTTTGTTCCTAAACATAGTGCATGTCTATAAATGACTGTGAGAGATCTCTGCTGATTTTTGGGATTACAAATAAATCTTAAGAACAGAGGAATTACAAACATGGACTCTACCAATACTGAACATCTGCTCTATCCATAGGATTACAACTTCAAAATATAATTTTTGGATTAAGCATATTCATTTATAATTGAGAAATTGCCAAGTTAACCTCTATAGAAATTGCAACAATGTACTTTCTTTATTCCTGTATTTAGTACAGGGTCTACAGGGTCTCACGACGTAGATTGGACTCGTAGTGATTCTCCTGTTTTCAGCCTCTCAAGTGCTGGGATTATGGGCGCTTGCCACCATGCCCAGTCTCAATCACTGTCTCAGCGCGTCCTGTGGGCAGGGCTGGCATGGCACACTGGGGACAATTTACATTCTGCCTACAATAAAGATTAGGATACTAATAATAAGAAAACATTTTCTTCTTTTTTTTAAATTTGTGTATTCAGTACGGGGTCTCACTATGCAGCTTGGACTCATAGTGATCCTCCTGTTTTCAGCCTCCCCAGTCATGTGATTACAGATGTGCACCACCATGCCCTGACTCAGTGGCTGGCTCAGCACACCTAGGGGAGGGGCTGGTTTGCCTTATGGTACCAGGTTTCTAACCCAGTCCCTGTGCTTGCCAAAGCAGGTGCTTAGTCTGCTGAGCTATCTTGCTGGCCAACAACATAAAAAGAAACACAAGTTAAGTGATTTCATCATACAAGTCACTGAAAATGTTGGCAGTGAAGAATCCAAAAGGTCATATACAAAGTGCTAAAGTAGAGGCAATGTGTGTTTCATTTAATTAATATGCTATTTTAGTCAATTAACAGATTTTAAGGGGAGAATATACATGTTCTCTTTGTCACATAACATAATTTACATTTCAAGCTTTTCTAACTCTATTGGTGGGGGCAAACCATAATAAAAGCTCACATGTGGCAATTAGGACAAAAGCTAACTTCCAGGAAATGTCCTGGGCTTAGATCACAATGTCCTGTTCTTTTTATATCTTTGTCTATTCAAATGGTTCCAAAAGCTGTAGAGCTTTTTAAAAATAACAGGATTCCCCTGTTTCAGGCCTACTGAATCAGAATCTCTGGGGAGTGAGCCAAGATATCTTTTTTTAATGAAAATATATAAATGATGTTTCAGAACAAAGACTCTAGATCATTTACAGTCAGGAATACTATAGTTTGGCTTTTTGTTTTTTGGTACAAGGTCTTATTATGCAGCTCAGACTCATAGGGATCCTCCTGTTTTCAGCCTCCCCATCATTGGGATTAAAGGTGTGCACCACCAGTGCACCCAAGGGAAGGGCTAAGGCCATGTGGCATGTGGTGCCAGGGATCAAACTCTGGTCACTACGTTTCCTAAGCAAGTCCACTGAGTCATCTCGCCAGCCCTACAGTGAAGAATACTGAAGCAGTGAAGGATGCCCAATCATGTTTACTATGTTACACTGTTAGGGCATAACACCCGTGAAAATATAAAACAAATAAAGTACTTTTGTCTTCTACTCAAAAGTTAAACAGAGGGGCTGGTTAGACAGGTTAACAGACTAAGCACCTGTCTGGCAAGTGTAAGGACCAGAGTTCAATCTCCAGTACCACATGTTGTGCTGGCCCCACTTGCTGAGCCAGAGCTGTACTCCCAACTCTGAGGAGGCTGAGACAGGAGGATTACTATGAGTTCAAGCTGCGTAGGCAAGACCCTGTGCCAAATAAATAAATAAATAAATAAAAGATTTTTTTAAAGTTAAACAGAAATCCCTGTACCACACATTTGTTGTTGTTGTTTTTTGTTTTTTTTTTTGGAACTGGTAACTGAACTCAGAAGTTTGGGCATGCCAGGCAGAGAATCTACTACTGAGCTATATTTCCAGCCTGCACCACACATTTCAGATATGAAATACTTAAAAATAATTTAATTTTAAGTGTATTGCAAGAGGTTTTTGTGTTATTTTTTAATTCCCTACTTTCAATTTTTTAAAAAGACAATACAAAATAATGATTTAAAAAAGTAGAAATGATACAGAATTTCACTAAACAGAATAGCTTACCTGAAAAAGTAAGAGCACCCTCGGACAGTATTGTGGGTATAGTTCTCCAAAGTCTTTTCACTGCCATAATCCTCTGAGGGATCAGACCAAAGCAGGTCACACACTGGACCAAAGGCTGGAGGTTCAATAAACCTGTCTAACTGGAAGACATGCAAAAGCCAGAAGACAAAAAAAATCAGGAAAACAAAAAGGCACTTAGAAGCAGGTAGGTTTAACAAAGAAACCAGAAAACAAAACAAAACAAAACAAAAAAAACCTCTCTGGGAGCCAGGGATATAGCTCAGTGGCATAGGTGCCTACCTAGCAAGCACAAACTCCCAAGTTTGATTCCCAGTACTAAAAACAAAAACTTTTCTACCTTAGGAACGTATTAGGAGAAAAGATGGTAAGCCCCCAAATGATTTTCCTGCCAAAAAAGGGGAACATTTAAACAATTTAGATATATAATTTTTTTATTATTTTCTGTAGTAAACATTCATAAATATTCCTGTCTTTTAACCATACCACTGAAAGGATTTCCACCTCCTTAGGCTAGGGGTATGGCTCAGTATACAGTACATGCACAGGCCCTCTGTTTGTTCCTCAGCACCTCAAGAAGAAAGGAAGGTCAAAAAGGACAACCTCCTACCCTAATCTTTTTTTTTTTTCTCCGAATGCCCTCAGGGGTGGTTCTCCTACCCTAATCTTAAAGCAGTGCTCATTCAATTTTAATGCAAAATTGGTCATGAGAGAGACACTATTTTAAGAAAACCATGTGAGAGTAATTTCAATTGCCTGGGGAGGCCAGTGTCACCAGGAGAACAGGATGTAGACTCATTCTGTTCATTGTTTATTTCATTCCAACGGATAGTTATCTTATTTTTTTAATATTATTTTTAATTCATGTATTTGGTACAGAATCTCACTATGCAGCTCAGACTTGTAGTCATCCTCCTGTTTTCAACCCCTCCAGTGCTGGGATTACAAGCATGCACCACCAAGCCCAGTCTCGGTAGCTGGCTCAGCACGCCTGGGGGTAGAGCCAGCACAGCCTGCAGTGCCTGGGATCGAACCTCAGTCCCTGGGCTTGCCTAAGCAGGCACTTAGTCTGCTGAACTATCTTGCTGGCCCTTGGAGAGTTATTTTAAAAGAATGCTAGTTTTTTGTATTTGTTCTTATTTTTTTTCCTCTTCAAAATTTAAAAAAAAGTGCTAGTTTAATTTTGTATAGTAATTTCATCTTTCTCATTCTATGCAATGGAGGCATTTCAGCTTCAGTCATTAACATGTTTTTAGTCACTACTGCTTTAGCTAAAAACATAAAGACCAAAAGAATACAAGTAACTAGAATAGCTCAGTGCCAAGAGGAAGATTTCTGCTTAGTGAAAGAACTTTTTATTAATACAATTGATTGAGAATTGTTAAATCCAAGAGTTACTGTATAAAAGCAAAAGACTAGTTCTTTAAGATAGTAAGGCAATAAAAAAAAAAGCCAGCCTCACTGCCTTATCCTCAGAAAGTTGACTTTCCGTATTTATTTTTGATTTTTTTCAATCCTCTGCTTATTAAAGATGTGCACCATGATGCCAGGCTAAACTGGGCCCCCTGGCTTCCTGGGTGATATTGTGGCGGGGGGGGGGGGACTGAACTCAGGACCTTGTGCTTGCCAGGAAGACACCATCCTGTTGAGCTATCTCCCTGACTATATTGGATTTTTTGAGATGGACTCTCACTATATAGCTTGGGCTGCCCTTGCACTCATGGTTCCTTAACCTCCTGAGTGCTGGGCTTAGAGCTATGCACCACCACATGCAGTGGAAGGTTGATTTTAATTCAGAGAAAACAGGTTTTTTTTTTTTTTTTTTTTTAATGTATTTAGGACAGGGTCTACAGGGTCTCACTACATAGATCAGACTCCTAGTGATTCCGTTTTCAGCCTTCTAAGCACTAGGATTACAGGCATGTGCCACCATGCCCAGTCTCAATCACCCTCTCAGTGTGCCCTAGGGGTGGGGCCAGCACAAGACACTGGGGATCAAATATGGGCCTCTGCACTCTGCCTAAGCAGGCACTTTAGTCCACTGAGCTATCTGGCTGGCCCAAGAAAAGTTTTATAAACACACAAACTTTTAGTTTCAGTAATTATATGAGAGAACTAAGAAAATACAAAGGTAAAGAAGAGAGTCACGCAGAAAAGACTGGTCCTCCTTTATCAATGAAGACAAAGTCTTTGAAATAATCATTATGTAAGGCAACTGGAACAACTGCACTTTATCATGCAAGTCCATCAACTGGGCTTGAGATGTAGCTCAGAGGCACAGCATCTGTCTGGCAAGCATAAGATCCTGAGTTCAATTCCCACTACCAAAGCAACAAAAAAGCCAATGATCTTCAGAGCTATCAGAGTCCTCATACCATCCATTCTAACTTTCTCATTTAACAAATAAAATATGCTAAGAAGTCAAGCAATTTCATCAAGGATTAGGACTAGAACCCTGGTTTTGTTCCTTCTGTATTTTGACATAATTTAGTTTCTTTTTTCTTTTTTTTGGACATAATAGAGTTGCAAGGCAGTACATGCCTGTAAACCCAGCTACTCAGGAGGATAAGGATGAAAAGAGGCGCTGGCAGGGCGTTCAAGACCCAGTAAAAACATACTGGGGTACAGATACAGTTGAGTGGTAGAGCGTGCTTCGGTTCAACCCCCAGCACGCAATAGTGGTGGTGGAATATTTCATAGCTATAGCCTAAGAATTTTATACTTCAATTGGGAAAGACACAATTAATTTTAAAAATTAAAGAAAATTCTTGGTAGATTTGTATGTTTAAACCATATCTTGCTGTAACAATGAGACAATAGATAATTTCTATTTTCCTACTTTTGATTATCTGCATTTTAAAAATTTCAGCTAAAAATATATCAGTTGGCTGTAATTAAAATGATATTTTAAAACATATCAGAGAGAATAACGTGATTACTTACTTTCCTAATGTCATCTAAGCAAGTGATTTCAGGTGACATTCCTCCATGTACACACAGAAACTGCTGGTTTAAGAGGGCAGCAAGAGGAAGACAATCAAATGTGTCCATACATGCCTCATACACCCGTTCTGAATATTTGATTAGACCTACCAAAAAAGGAAAAAGTCAAAGGAAAAAGCTGTAATATATGGGAAAAGTTATAAGCCAGAAGAGTATGAAGCTATGTCAAAGTCATTTATTTACTTCAGGCAAATCTAAAAACACAATCATCTTTATAAAGTTGTTTTTGATAAGTTAGAGATAAAACTTTAACCCCTATCCTCTCTAAAGACAAATGTGACCTTGGATTAAGCTTTGTTGCCCTGGAAACCTGGTGAGGTGACTGTCAGCTGTCTTATTAGGCAACAATGCTTATGGTAAAAATTACTCCATTACCTGGCAGAAGGCTATAGCTTTGGGCTCCTTTCAGGGTGGTGACTCCTAGTATGTCCTTGGGGACCTGGAAGGTCTGCCAATAAAGCTTTTACAAGAGATTTGGACTTGTGATTCATGAGGCTTCTAAGCCAGAGTGGTTCCCCACCTATGCATGGGAACACTTTCTGTGTACCTGAGATGTAACCTGGGAGGGGAACAGAACAAAAAGCTGTGCACTCCCACAGGGACTACGCCACTGAACACCAAGACCTACATCCCTCTAAGCAGAGGCCAAATGTGGTTCATGGTAGTCCTAGCAGTCCAAATATCTCACTGAGTCTTGAAAGGTTCCTTGAGAATGGTAGATACTTAACTAAAAACTGGAGGATTCTTTTTGTTCATAATTTTAAAAGTCTACAAGTTATATCCTGACTAAATTTTATATAGAAATGTCTGGCTTGGGCATGGGACATGGCTCAGGAGCACAGAGCCTGCTGGCAAGTGCAAGGCTCTGAGTTTGATTTCAGAATCCATAAAAAAGGGCCAAGGAGATGGCTCAGTGGAATAAGCACTTCCCTGGAAAGTGCAAGGGCCTGAGTTCAATCCTTGGTTCAGCCCAAAAAAAAAAAAAAAAAAAAAAAAAAATCCACAAAAAAAATTTAAGTTTGGCTTATGAATTGTATTTTGATGTAGTCATCAAGATGGGACTACAGAACAAGGGGACACTCCAGTGAGCAGAAGGTGAGGGCTCTGCAATTCTTCAGGAAGGAAAGGTCATAAAATAATAGGTAAGAAACTGGAAGATGAGCTTTCATTTAAAGAGAAAAAGCATTTTTCTCTTCTTGGATGCTATGGTTTGGATGTCACATGAATGTGTCCCCCAGGTATCCATGCATTGCTAGGCCAGCCTCCTGACTGGAGATGGCAGAGGGGTACCTCATGGGGAATCCACGTGGAATGCCCTCAGAAGGGAGGAATGCAGTTCTCCGGAGACTCAGGCTAGTGCTTCCTAGAGGGCTGCTATAAAAAGAACAAAACTGTCCCCCCTTCCAGTCTCTGATGTCCTAACTCATCATGTGATCTCTCCTTAGCACGTGTTCCCACCATGAGGTCCTCACCAGCACAGAGTTAATGCGATCCCATGTCCTTGATCCTCCAGACTATGGACAAGCAAAGTTCTTTTCTTTATAAAGTACCTACCCTTTCTGGGCATAATGGCTAGTGTCTGTAAGCCCAGTGCCAGGGGACTGGGGCAGAAGGATGACTGGGAGTTCAAGGCAAGCATGGGCTACACAGTGAATCTGTGTTCAGCCTGCTCTACATAGTGAGCTCTGTCTCAAAAAAAAAAAAAAGTACCCACCCTTAAGCATTTTACTATGCTAACTGAAAACTGATTATAGATATTACACCTGACCTTGGGTTTCAAAGTGAGTATATGCCTGGTAGAAAAAGCCAGCAGTTCTAGAGTCACAGGCAATCCTAGAATACTGTGAGCTCTTCTGCTTCCAAGATTCTGAACAGTAGATAACCTACTGTCCAGGAGAACAGAGCTATACCTGATAGTACTATAACCAGTATATCTGATTATCGTACTGATTTCTGTACTTGTTTCCATCTTTGTTTTTCTTTTTGTAATCTCCAAGATTTTATTAAATTTTTTCTTTTTTTTTTTAGTGAGGAAGGCTCATAGTAGGTTTATTCACTAAAAGTGACTGAAACTGAAAATATATTTTAATGAAAACATCTCACCAACTTTAATTTTTTTTGAGACAGAGTATCACTACGTATTGTAGGCTGGGCTCAAACTCACAGCAATTCTCCTGCCTCAGCCTCCTGATTGCTGGGATCACAGGCAAGCACCACCATGCCCAGATTCCCAACAATTTTAGACATAATTTGCATTTTTAAAATATGAAGCTCTGTGGCATCAGGACTTGTTTCCTGCTCTACAGGGTTTTTTTCAGTCAAGGTCTTACTTTGGTATTAGGCTGGTCTTGAACTATGTAGCCTGGGTCTGTCCTTGAACTTGCAAGGATCTTTCTGCCTTAGCCCCCTGAGTGCTGGGATTCCAGGTATCCACAGGCTTCAGATGCCACTGCACTACTAACTCCCTGGTACTCTTGAGGCACGTGTTAGCTATGTTCTCTTCTGTGGGAAGTCCTTGCAGCAGCTTCAGGGGCTGGATTCTTTTGAGATGCTTAACCACTTTGAGCTTTGCATTTACTGAAGGGATGTTCTTATGAACTTGAGGAGTGTGTGCTTTGTCTAATCCAAGCATCTTGATTACATCTTTTTCCCAATACAGTCGTCTTATCATACTTTTTGTTCTGGTGACAACATACAGTTTGTGAGGTTGCTGTGGATCCCCACCATACTTTTCATGATCTTCAGGTGAAGGCTGAAACACTTTATCTGGAATTCTTGATTTGGTAACTTTGTGACGAACCCAATCTGTACCCATGAGAGATTCCACAGGTTTTTGTCACAGTCTGCAGCCTGCCTGGGGGCCTGTGAACCACTGAGCACAAAATCCTTGCCAGTTTCCCAATTATTTGTTTTCAGAGGTTGCAGGAAGCAAACAGATCTACTGGTGAAGTGTTCTGGAAATGGACAGGTTCTCTCCTTCTCTGGTGCAATGCCCACTAAACGTTCAGTCTGAACTTCCACACAAAGCCTGTTTCTATTTTTTTGAGATAGGGTCTCACTATGTAGTTCCGATTGGCCTTGACCTATATAGCTTAGGTTGACCTCAAACTCACATCCCTTCTCTTGCCTCAGCCCCCAAGTGCTGGGACTACCATAGCATGTACCAACACCCCAGATTTTATTTTATTAATTTTGAACACTGATTTTATAACCCCCTACCCTGGGATGCACCATTTCTGGAGGTACTATAATATTAGGTTGATGCATGGAGTGAACAGAACAAGCTCTTATTATATCTCCCTGCTCCAAAAGTCTACTTAGTATATTGTCTTCAGCTAGAAATCGCATCAGATATTAAGTTGATAAGAACAAATGCTACCCTTGATCTTAGGTAGCCAATAGGCAATCTCTCTGAGCTTTTAATCTTTTTTTTTTCTTTTGATACAGGGTCTTGCTACACATCTCAGACTCATAGTGATCCTCCTGTCTCAGCTTCTCCATCGTCTTCAAGCTTTTAGCAAAGACATTTCAATATCACAACCTGGCCTTGGCAAACTTTGAGAAATGACATAAAGGCATAGGGTCCAGATATAAACCCAAATGCAGTACCTGGGTGGGGGGAATGAATGGAGAGGGCCCTAAGGGAAATGTAAATGAGGGAGCCACATTTGAGGCTATACACTTTTCTACTGCAGGATGTGAAGGTTTTTTTCTTTATTGCCAAAACCAAATGATCCTTTTTCTCCCAAAAATCCTAGGATCCAGAGTTTCCTCTGTTGCCAACATCAATAAGGAATTCCCTCCTGAGTCCTAGCCTGAAATACAGGCAACAATCCAAATTACTTACAAATTAAATGTTTCATAACATCATCTAGCATTGACAACATGCCTTTTGACCCTCACATGATTTAAAATAATTTTTTAACTTGCAAAAGATAAGCCAAGTCCACAGATGGCAAGTAAACATAGTAGGTTAAGCCAGTCTGTAAATTATAACAGGAAGCCAAAGTCAATTAAAAAGAACTCATGTTGTGTTAGTACACGACTAAAATATGTCACAGCACGTCACCAGTTTTATTTTTTCAAAGTATATGGATAAAAGCTGGCATGATGGTACATGTCTATAATTCCAGAACTGGAGAGGATGAGGCAGAAAGATCAACATGAGTTTGAGGACAGCATGGAATTCAAAGAGTTCAAAGCATAGAGTTCAAAGCCACCCAAAACTATATAGACCCTTTCTTAACATGGACAAAGACAGCCTGGGTTTTTTTTTTTTTTTTTTCCAAAGACACTGAAGAGAGTATCTATACTTTTCTTTCCATATTTAGCCACATTTTCTTAATTTTCTATGATAAAGATATCTTTATATACTATATTATTGATATTGGAATATGCTGTAGGCTCTTAAGTGGCACTCGGATCACTAAGTATTTGACATACATGGGGGTTGAGAAAATGGTCTGGATTCTTACTGCCTCAGTTCAATTCTCAGCTCTGCCACTTATTAGCTTGGAACCCTGGACACCGCTTCTTCGCTCTATGTGCCTTGATTATCTTGTATGTAAAATGGACATATGATAACACATACTTACAATTCAAGGTTGCTGTGATAATGAAAGGAATACATGAAAAATGTGTTAATGCCTGGCACATTCCAGGTACAGTGTGTTCAATAAAATTATTTTAATCCTTATAAAAGCCCAGTGAAGTGGGTTTATCACCATCTTAACTCAAAAGCTGAGCAAGCAGGGCTAATTTGCCCACAGATGAAAGCTTATGACAAAAGTAGAACCTAAAATGTTCGTGTTCTTAACCACCCTGCAACACACCTCTGCATCATTGGTTTTCTTTTTTTTTTTTTTTTTTGTGGAACTGGGGATTGAACTCGGGCCCCTGTGCTTGCAAAGTGCATCATTGTTAAAATACTTACTAGGAGTCTCTACATAGCCAAACATATAATTATTAAAAGTTAAATTAGCTGATTCAAGTGTTTTATTTTCAAGAAAAAATAAGATAAATCCCATAAAACCTTTATTTCTATTTTTTTCCTTTATGTATTTTGGTATAGGGTCTACAGGGACTACAGGGTCCCACTGCCTAGTTTGGACTCGTAATGATCCTCCTGTTTTCAGCCTCCCAATAGCTGGGATTATAGGTGTGCACCACCATGTCCAGTCTCAATCATTGTCTCAGCATGCCCTGGGGCGGGGCCAGCACATCATGCTGGGATGGAACCCCGGCCACTTGGCTCTGCCTGAGCAGGTGCTTTAGTCTGCTGAGCTATCTGGGCAGTCCTAAACCTTTATTTCTATAATGAAGGAAAAATGCATCACAGTCATTAGATCACAATAATACAAGTTCTAAACACCAATAATTTAGCATCAAAAATTTAAAACACAATTCTCTGAAAGTGAGAGCACTACAGCAGGAAAAAAACAACCTGGTCTACCCACTGATCACACATTTGTTTTAAATTTTAGTTGAGTTTACTTTTTATTTTAATTAATTAATTAATTTAGTACAGGGTCTTGCTACACAGCTTGGACTCATACTGATCTTCCTATCTCAGTCACTCAGTGCTGGGATTACAGGCGTGCATCATCATGTCCAGTTTCAGTGGCCAGCTCAGCAACTGGGCCAGCAAGGCATGTAATACCAGGGATCAAACTCGGTTCTTTGTGCTTGCCAGGCAGGTGCTTAGACCACTGAACTATCTCTCCAGCCTTGAGTTTACTTTTTAAAGAGCCAAGAAATATATTTATATGGCCCAAAATTTAAAAGCGACAAGATGTTCCGTATTTTCTATTCTTTCTATAGGCAACCAGTGGTACCAGTTTCCCAAGTGCCTTTCCAAAGATATTCTAGGCCTCCATGTGCAAATGTGCACATCTACTCTCTTATCACAGCATCTTTGTTTTTTTCCATAAATGGTAACATATTTACATTGCTCCGAGCTTCCTTCTTAGTACCTAAGAATATATTTTGGAGATCTTTCCACATCTTCATATGAATAACGAAGTTAAGAATATGCTATCCCAGGGGGCTGTGATGCATGCCTGTAATACCAACATTCAGGAGGCTGAGGCAGGAGGATCACTGCAAATTCACGGCCAGTGTGGGCTACATAACAAGTTCAACACCAGTCTGAAATGCATAGCAACACCCTGCTCAAAAAAAAAAAAAAAAAAAAAAAAAAAAAAAAAAAATATGCTAGCTTAAAATGTGCTACTCTAGTATATTAATTATTTTGGATTAAAAGAACCTGAAAACAGCAGGTGAACAATCTCACTGACTTTTAATGCTGTTTCTTCTTCAAAGGAAGAGATGAAACTCTCATGTTAAAGATGCCCTCCTCTACCAGAAGGGTTTTTTGTTTTTTTTGTGCAGGGTCTCACTACACAGCCCAGACTTGTAGTGATCCTCCAAATTTCTGCCTCCCTAGTGTTGGGATTATGGGTGCGCGCCACCATGCCCAGACTCCATCGCAGGCTCAGCATGCCGGAGGGCGGGACTGGTACAGCATGTGGAGCCAGGGATCGAACCCTGGGCCCTGTGCTTATCTAAGCAAGCATTTAGTCTGCTGAGCTATACCACCGGTCCTAACCAGAAGGAAAATAACATTGTTACTGTCAAGGATGGAAAGTTAAGGTCTAACAAATTCTGTACAGATCTCATTAAAATCATATTGAACTGGGGATATAGATCAGCATCACACACAAAAAACCCCCACCTTTTTAGCTTCTCCATACGATTTAGTTTTTCACAATTTATTATTTTTTAGCCAATTCAATTCTCATGTAAGTCTTCAACTCATGATGGTCCTGTGTCATGTAAAGCTTAAATTAAATACGTGTATATGCTTTTCTCCTATTGACCTGTCTTGTCTGTCAATTTAATTCTCAGGCCCGGTAGAAAAAAAAAGAGTAAAGGCAAAACAGAAGCTCAGTAATTATTAACACTATGCAGTAGTTCACTTTATTTTTTTATTTATTTATTTATTTATTTATTT